CCTGGAAGGGACGTGATCCTCCTGCAAAGGCTAAAAAAAAAATCCTGATTGGTGGGCTACTGTTTTAGTGCCCTTATTCATGAGCATGAACACCTCCCTGCAGGTCGCCAAGGAATGGACCAATTTCATGGTAATTTGCCACAAATAGGTGGCAAAGCCAATCCAGAGAACTACCATCCTTTTGGCTTACTATATATAATTAGCGAATTATATGTTAAATACCTTTTCATAAGCTCACTGATTGGATAGTCAAAGAAAGAAACTTAGCAATCTTAGTAAGCCAGTTTTAGATCAGGTTTTTCTATTGCTGATCAATGTATCACTCTGCCCTGCCTTTCTGCAAGTTATACTAACCCTCCTGGAGGCGCTCTCTATGCTGTTTTCATAGACCTGAAAGGGGTACCTAATTCAATCCCTCGAGAGAGGTTGTGGCAAAAACTAGCAGCTTCCTCCATCGACCACTGGCTCCTGTAAAATTTAAGATGTTGCATGAAGGGACTACAACGCAGGTCCAATGTCAAATAGTCATGAATTGACTGGCCCTATTCCAGCTTTGAAGGAAGCTAAACAAGGATATATTCTAGCTCCTCTATTATTTAATTTTTACATCTATGATATTATTCAAGCCCTTACCAAAGATGAAACATTGTATATATAATGCCTGAATGGATGACAATGTGATATATGTAATATGATTTAGTTGATGGCAAATGTGTGCACAAAGGCCCGAACAAACTATTGAGTCCCACAGATTTGCTGAATTGTTTCAGACAGCAAGGTCCAGCAGAACCAGAGCTGGAACAGACGACTAGAAATTGTCAGAGAGGCTCTGAGACCTATTTGTATTTTGCATGGATGCCTCCTTTCATGTACTGGAAAAGCCTGTAGACTCTCTGTCTTGCCCTCCATCTGATGTAGGCTGATTCCTATGAACCTGATGTAAGCTAGTACTCCAATAAATTTGCTTTGCTTTTTCTATGCCCCAAACCACAAGCATGCAAGGAAAATGGGTGCTTCTCCATCACTTAATTACATCTCATCAGCTATGCAAGATGAGTGTAACATACAGTAGTTCAAGGTCAGTGATGGCAAACCTTTTGGGCTTGGCGGGCCAAAAATTCGGAAAATGCCTAACTTGATTCTGCTGGTGTATCACCCCTGCCCCCAAACAAAAGAGAAACAATTCTTTACATATTCATTTATTTTTAAAAAATACAGTCCAATCATGTGGTGCTATGTATTATATAAAGAAACGTCAAATAATTACAAAAATGAAATATGAGTAAAACTCAATTTCTTTGGTAACTCAGATAGGGAGAATAGTTGTCGGGTGTTGGTGAACACTGGGGTGTCATCCAGAACGTTATAGCATGTCACCTTTGACATGCATGCCATAGGTTCGCCATCACTGCTCTAGGTCATGTTGTACTCACTGTTCATGAAATAATTACGTCCTGTACTTTTCAAAATATGGCTCAACCTAATCTTGGTCCAGAACAACACTTCTTCAAACAGTTGGCGTTGATAGCAATACTTCATTCAATTTCTGACAAATCTATGGATTTGTTCGTAAGAAAGATGCTATTTAATTTTAAAAAGATGAAGTAGCAACTAATGACGTAAAATGTATAAAAATGTGAGTATTAAGCAAGAATTTATTATTTGAGAAAGGATAACTTTTCTGCTTTATTCTGGGTGTCCTCCTATGCTGAAGTGTGGAATATAGGTATCTGGAAGTAACCTTTTCAGTGGTAGCTCCCATCCCCGCCCCCATCTCCAGAATATGCTCCTCAGTGAAATAGGTCTGTGGCCAACTTTATTTTTCTTGTTGTAAGAAAGACATTTTTATTCCCTCAGGGCTTTATATATTGCATATTATTTTAATTTTAAATGTATGTACTATATAGAACTTTTCAACTATTCTGGTTGCTACTTTCATTTTTTTGTTTATATTTTAATGTATTTTATTTTGGAAATTAATTACAATTCAAAATTTATTGTAAACTAGCCTGGGAAAACATGGTGTCACATAAAAATAAATAATAAATTATGGCAAGACATATTTTCTCCATTACTTCCATTTTTTTCTTCATGATTTTGAAATCACCCTATACAGTATCCAGCTAATTTATTGTACATTTCTCTTCAGAAGCAATCAAGAGTTGTTTCTGATTATATAGAACCCAGATTAATCTATGATCTTACTTAATGTTGAACATTCAGTGTTATTTTAGGAGGATGGGAAAGTGTACCTGAGCTTGCAATGCTATGAACAGGAAACATAGATTTGAGAATGCAACAAGGGACAAATTGAAATGAAATGCACTGGAGCAGATATTTCCAGCTAAACTGCATATTTGTATTTTTTTATAAGAAGATTTGACCATGTTCTCATTTCATGTTAATTAGCTTCTTCCCCTGCCCCCAACTTTTCAGACTGAATTCGGAGAAGCTTTTTAAATTAAAAAAAAAAATTCCTCTAATAAATAAATTTCCTTCTCTGCTAGAGGTTTGGTGGTAGTAAGGGTGGTGGGAGTAGGGAGTTGTCTTGTTTGTATAGGTAAGCACTTGAAACTGAAGCTTTATAGTTAATAGAGATAAATTACTCAGACATATTTTCATCAATAATGTATATTTAAAATAATACATTTTCAGTATATCTGACAGCATCCTTTTCATATTACTTTGATATACCAAAGAAACATATTTCTGGAAAAATTAGTATTCTATTAAAAACTCTATAGTAAAATAGATTGAGAAGAGCCATCATTAAAATATTATGGGGATTTTAGTGCTAAACCCATTTGATATTGCACAATCCATGGCAAACAATATTCCAGATTTTAGCATTAAATGCTTATTGCTGCTCAGCTCAAAATAAAATACACTCTTAGCACATAATAATAACATTCAACAAAGAAGTGGTACATGTACAATTTCTATCATATTGCTTCTGAGTTATCAGCTTTTTTTTTTTTAACCATATCAGGCAACTCACAGGTCTGTTTGGGATTATACAAGCATTGAGAGATTTGTACATCATTCTCAAAATATCTCCACTGCATTGGTAAATCCACTAACCAGACCTGCACAGTATTCTGTAATAATACCAAGTAGAGAAGTACAAGTCCTATTGCTCATATCCTAGCCCTGAACTGGCTGAACAAATAAACAAAGCTAACTAGTAGAGGTGCAAAAAAAAGAATAATTAGTAGCATGCTGGTGTTTCTGCTAGATAAAAGGTCTAGTGGATGGCATGAAAACAGTACAGCTCTGTGTTATAGTACCATCCACTCCTCACACACTTTAGCACCTTTTTTTGCCAACTGAGGAACCAGAAAATCTACCTTCTTTCTCCACCATAAATATTTGTTAAAGAAAAAAAGAACAGTCTATGCTTAGCAGTTATCAGGGAAATCCAAGCGCTGTGTCTGGGAATCAGGAGTCTGTAATACTCAACATGAATTGGAAAAGGCTGGGACAAAGTATTGGTTAACTAAGTGCATATCCTGTTCCTTATAAATATTATTAAATGTCCCTTGTTTCAAATTTTCCTTTAGGCTTGTGTTCAGTATCTTCAAGAGGAAATGTTCAAAGTTCGTAAAGTCTGTTTCTGAGCAGTAACAATTTCATTAATATTGATTATCCTCCACAAACATGTCACTCGTATGATTATCAGCTTAAGTTACCTATGAATATAGCTGCCAAATATGGTAATCCTAAAAATGGGCAGAAAGAAAGGATATAAGATGTAAAAATACATTTTTCAGGATTTTTTTTTTCTGGAGCAAAATCAGTATAACATGTTGGGACAGCTATAACTTGTTTAGATTAAAAATAGCTTACACTATGTGTTTTCTTTTACCTTCCTGGTAATTTTATAGCATGATCATGCTTTCATGTGACTTGGAACTTTGAATCTGGATTTAAGAAACCATGACATCAACATGCTTGTGTATATAGCCTATTTGAACCCAATTTGTTCCCTCCTTTGTGAGAATGGATAAACAAATAATAGACCAACCTTTTAACAGGATTTGTAGTTGGTTTACAAACTGTGTGTTAATTAACAGGTCAGTTCAAGCCTACTTCTAGACCGCAAATTAATTCAACCAGCTACAGGCAACTCATCCCTAGGCAGCATATGCCTTCTGTATTAAGTGATTACATACTGTTTTTGCAAATTGGAGAGGTGCAACCAATCTTTTTGCAAAAATCTAACATCCTAGCCCTTCACCACCACCTTTTTGAATGCTGAACAGCTTTCCCCAACCTGTACCCACCATACATGTTAGGCTAAAAACTTCCACAATTCTCAATTATCGTAACCAACAGGAATTATAACTCCAAAACATTTGGAGAATACCAAGTTCAGGGCCAGATTTAGATGTGGTGAGGTCCTAAGGCTATGGGAAATTTTGGAGGTGCTATTTGGCAACTGCTAACAGTGAATAAGGCTGTATAACAACTTGGCAAGAGTATTGCCAAGATTCATATGATGGGGTGGGGAAGAGCCCTCTGAACAGAATGTGTAAATCCATTCTGGATATTTTTATTAACGAGGGTCATGTGAGCTATACAGGAGGGCTTAACTGATAGAAATGTTCACATATGAAATAATAAAACTGTAACAATTTTTAAAAATCTGAAACTTTAAGAAGCTCTTTCAGGTTCTGAGGCTCTAAACTATAGTTTGCTTAGTTCTGGTGAGGAGCCAATTTATCAGTGTTAAAATATCCTATGTTTGTGCAAAACTGATTCTTTCTTTCTTTCTTTCTTTCTTTCTTTCTTTCTTTCTTTCTTTCTTTCTTTCTTTCTTTCTTTCTCTTTCTTTCTTTTCTTTCTTTTCTTTCTTTCTTTTCTTTCTTTCTCTCTCTCTCTTTCTTTCCTCCCCCCCTCCCCCCGTTTCTCTCTTTCTCATAAGCAATATAAGCAACAACACTTAGTGTTATACATATGTCAAACCTTCTAAACTGAAAAATAAATATCCTATTCTTAGCTTTTTAAAAATATGTATTCAGAACCATTTTTGGTATCAAATCCAGCAGAATATACTGTATTGTCTGTTTAACAAACAAAATGGCTTTTGAATAATTGGCACACAATCCAGAATCATTATTGCTCTCATGGAAGTGCTGTTTCTTTCTGTATGCACATATATTTAAGTATGGTTTCTGAATTATTGCATAATTCTAGGAGGATTTTATATCCTTCTGTGATTTTAGTGCCTCATATGTATGTGTGTACACACACACACACATGCACGCGCACACACACACAGTCATATAAAAATAACTTCTTCCAAGATATTTCATACAGGAAAAACTATGGAAAATCACTTCCATCATAAACCACTGGCCGTTGAACAGATAAGTGGAAAAATACTTTTTTTGAGATAAACCTGTAAGAAAGACAACATAAGAATATTAGTCAAACTGAAATTGTAAAAATAAAGTCATCTAGGAGAAACAAAGAGCATGCAATTACAATTAAATAATCATACTGTTCTTAAGTGCAGTTCTCTTCCTCTGTGCTAGGTCAGTGTGATCCTAGCCACACAGTGGATGGTTAGTTATTTTTATCCTTTATGGCAAAATTGCCTCATTCAATAGAATGTCATAAGATATAAAACAGCAAGGAGAAGCCAAATAAAACGACATATTAAGACTGAAGAGGAACGATTAAAGGATCCATTTCAAAAATATAAAATAATTAGGACTGCAGCCTAAGAGAGAAAAATATTTTAATATTTAAAATATTAAGAATGAAATAAGCAATAATTCCTAAAATCTCCTGTTCCTCACAACTATAAAAAATACTCTCTGCTCTCCAGCTGCACCAACCTAGAAAAGGTGTTGTCAAAAATAAGTATGTAAATTCCAGCGTTTCGGACTTTTACATTCCCTCTGATGGTTTCCTTGTGAGAGTTGCAGCGAGTCATAGGAATAAGAACCTGCAAAACATATATCAGTATTGTTAGAAAGAAAGCTTACGAGGTTCTTCTCCAAACCAGGAATAAACACGCAGGCGGTTGCTTGAAGGAGAGAGAAGACTTTATTTTCCCAGAGCCAGGTATGTAAAAGATCAGCTGTCGGGGCTGCCCCTTGCAGTTTCCCAGGAGTTCCTTTTATTGGGAAGACATTATTGTTCCTTGAAAGGTGAGAAGGAATGCCCACCCTCTAGGAATTCTTAGAAAAGGTAATTAACCAGGATTCCGAGAGAGAGGCTGGCCAGTGAAATTGACTAAGGAGCTTCTAAGGTCAGGCACCCTGCTGGGCCGGGGTTTCCTGTGTTTGCCTTACCAGGTATTGTCTAATTGGAATGTAAATCCCACTAAAAGTAGAGCATAATCGCTAATTATATATTTGGGACAGAGACCTAGAATGGTGTAGCTCTGCTAGCAAACAACAGATTTTCTTAGTTGAGCTGACTTGTTCATAATTAAATTATCTGCAATGTTTCCATGGAGGAGAACAATTCTGGTATGAAGGGCTGACTTACTTTACATTGATCCAGAGAGGTTTCTTCTGATTGCTTGTACACCACGCTGAATGATATACTCTTTGGGTCTGATGAAAATACCCAACTTATTGTAAGGCCAGTCTCGTCCACAGTAATTGGAATAATGCTGTAAGTACTTGACTTAATGAACAGTTCTCTGGTACCTTCTCCAAACTTTAAAATCTCCTCCACTGTGAGAGGCAACTTTAGCCTGAAGATAACAAACAAACAAATCAGAGCAAAAAAGAATGCTTGACTAACATATATGACACAAAATGTGGAAGCTCACTTCTTACTTGCAAGTACATTTTGTTATGAATCAGTGTTGTTAAAAGAAACAATGGCTTAACATTATTGTGTATCTGGTCAGTGGCACTTGCTTCCAGATAAACATGGTGAAATTAGCTGGGCTTACATCAATTCTCCTGACTTCAGCAAACAGATCTCTGCGTCTTGGGTCATTGGCAAATCATCAGATTCATCAAAAGTTGAGGAGCTATAGGTGCTGTTTCTGGGGACAAAGAGAATGGGATTATCATAATCACATATCATTTTCAAAATGGTACACAGAAATCTGAAAATCCAGAATCCACAATGGCTTATGATAAATATAGTATTACTCAATTAAATAATACACTGTACAATATAAATTACAATTCAGAACCAAAATAAATTTTTAAAAATGTATCCAGGAAAAACCTAACACCTAGAATGAAAACAAAAGAAGATAACAATGTAACCATCATGTTCTAATATTCCAATAGCTTGTGAGCCAATAAAGTATCTGGGGGTTTTATCCCCACAAACTGAAAGGGTGATGCACAATTATGAGACTGCTTGGAAACAATCTAAGCTGAAAAAAATCTTGAAACAATGGGAGAAAAAGCAGTTAGTCATTTTGGACAGATCAATGCACTTAAGATATAGATCTTACATAAAATAACTTTTTCATTTCACACAATACTGATTACTATACCTGATTAGCTCTATACCTATAATACTATACCTGATTTTATATTAGTTCAATGGGCAAAAGGCACAAAAATTCAAAATTAAAGTTTGTTATATTATATTGTAATATATATGTAATATGTAATATTAAATAATACATAAATAATTCATTATTGTTAACATATTTAACATATTAAATATTAATATGTAATATATAATATATAATAAAATTCATTGTTATATTAATTGAGTTAGAAAGGAGGATAAGAAATTGCAAATTTAGACTGATGAAGTGCAATTATCAAAATTAATGAGTTTTGTTGAAAATGGCAATGGAAAAGTCTGAATATCAATGGAGACATCCACTAAAGGCGTTATGTTTTATAAAAACAGAAAGACCCATCATGTGGGTAAGCAATGCTATGCAAAACAGAAAATAAGTAGTAATGAGCAAAATAAATTAAAGGTAGAAGGTAAAACAGAATATCTCATTATGTCTAGTTTATGCCAACACGTTTCACTATTTATTTATGTATTGTTTATGTACTGGAGCTTACATGGTGCTTCAGTCCATCAGGATTCTAAACAGTGTACCTCCCCTTCTTGAAGTAAAAGGGTTAAAATGCAATATAATAAAACAACAAAATGACAAGCAGAAAAAATAAAAAAAAGATATTTAAAAAGAAGGGCACCTAGAACAAAAACATCCAAACTCAACCCAGATTCAAACATATCCCAGATCACCTCTCAGGGATTTCTGAGGTGGTTTTAACAGCCCTCCTAAATCATAACAGAGTGGGGAACTGGTAAACTATTCCAGTGAAATGGGGCTGAAAAGAGAAGGCTCAACTCCTTGGGCCGTACAGATGATAATTCCTTAAGGGAAGGGTCCCCAAGCGAGCCTATCCTGCTCAATCTTACTACACGCCCAAAAGCTATTGGGAGTAGACAGAGCCAGTAATATCCAGACCTGAGCCATAGAAGCTTTCAAGATGGCAACCAACATCTTGAATTGCACCCAGAAGCCAACCAGTAATCAGTGTACCTCTCAACATAGGAGTGTTGTGGGAGAATTTTGGAACTCCAATTACTACTACCCAAGACACTGCTTTGGTGGCTCTCAGAGCACCCTCACATTTTCAGACCTTTTAGGGGGAGGATCTAACACATGAAATGAGAATCTAAGACTTGCATTAAATACTTTTGTGATCAAATTGCAGTCAGCAAACATTGTTTGGAAGAGTCACATATTCACCATTCAGCCAGAGGTAAGCAGTGACAGAATTATGTTGGGCTTCTCTAAGGAAGGCTCTCTCATTCACACCAAAGGATACGCTTGTTTCCTGATTTAGTTTCCTGAAGTATCTCCAAATAAATTGATTTATCTCCAAATAATCCATTAAAATTGAATGTTATAGATTTGATTGAATGTTATAGATATAGCTACCCTGGGCACCATTTGGAAGAGAGGCAGGTCAGAATTCCTACAGTGCAATTCTAGCCTTTATTACTACTAAAACATAGGTCCTACTAAAATCAGTGAGGCTGGGTACAGGATTTGCAGCTTTAAAGATAATTAATTTTTTTTCCCTAGGTGGAGCTCTCCAGATGTTTTGGACTAAAAGTCTAATCGCCCCTATCCATTTTTCACATGGCTCAGACATTTCATCACATATACAACACTATCAAAAATCAGTACTGAAAACAAATAGAACTATTTAAAAAATGCTGGAATGCAATATATTAATACTGTAATAACAAAATATTAATGAACAAAAAGTAAGAGATTGCTTCCAACTAGTGTGGAAATACAATGATATAGGTTGGTTGTAGTAATTCTAATTCACTCTTTGAATATGAAGTCACAGTACATAAGAAAGTAGAATAGTTTTATAAAAACCGTTTACTTTACTCGTCTATTTTAAAATTGTCATCACTAGATGGCAGTATATCAACAAAATAGCTCCCCTCTCTTGCACAGTATCTCACCAATTTTTTTCTCGGGGTTCTTCCTCATGGTTACTACCTACCAGTCCTTCACTTGGCAAAAAAACTACACTGGCATAAAAAGTGCAGGCCTCAATGGCTATTCCTATTCTGCCAAATACAGAATGCCAGCAAATGATGCTATCTTTATTTGAGGTATAGAGGGTGCTTTAAGAGCAGGGGTTACGGGATTCCCCTGACTTTGTTTTCCTCCCTCCCCACCAAGTGTTACCAGCCAGCAGAAAAACATCCACCAATCACTCTCCTTAATCTTGTCTGGGACCCAGGTGAGGGAGGAGGTGAATTCTGGCGGACAGCTATATCCGCAGGTTTATTTATTTGTCAAAGTGTGCTCTAATTTTATGCTAGTGTTTTCTGTAGGAGCATTCAAAAGGAGCTCAACTAAGAATTATTGCTTGATAAACTCCTTTCGGACATGGGTATAGTGCGCTCCTGTAAAAGTGCTAAACCCATTTCAAAAGGAGATGAATACAACTTTAGCGCTATTCCAGAAAAGCATAAATCTGTGTTCAAAAACCACCCAATTGTGAAAGATAAGTAAAAAGCCAATGGCTTTCATGGTAGAGATTATCAGTTGTTCAAGGCCAAGAAAGTCAGAGCAAGGAGTCTGCTGAAAGTTAGGAAAGGTGATAAGAAGCAGCAGGTGGGTTTAAGTTACAGCTATAAGAGAGGAATTGTACCCACTTTCTGAAGTAGTCAATGTAAGGTTTGCCCCGTTCGACAGAGAAACTCTCGTGACATGTGTGGTTCACAAAGAAGG